TTCTCCTCCAGACTCAGAGGTACTACATTCATTTTCTCTGCATGGAAAGAAAATCATCAGGGGCTTTATTTAAATCGTAAATTTCAGGACCCCCGAGCTATCCGTTCTCCCTTGGGGAGGGGGTAAAGTTTACTATAGTTTATATAGGGAAAATTAACCAATATTGGTATATTTTATCCATTTTCAGCAGAAAATTACTCAAACTTAGTCAGAATCATCTTTGGTGAATGAGAGTATTACTTTGTAAAATTGGGATTCCTGCCCCCTCCCCAGGGGCTAGGGCGGGGCTCCAAAGGGAACATTTACCAATGTTTTCAAATTCTTATCCTTTGATGACATGACAAGTATTGTATTTCACTTAGTTTACATGCTGATTTCCACATCACATCTAAACAATAAAATAAATTTAAAGCTACCAGTACCTATGATATAACTCAGGTGACCGCTAAGGCCCTTGGGCCTCTTGTTTAAATAGTTAGCATGCTGAAATGAAAGCCTCTGCATGTGACAAACAAAAACTCCTTTCTACAAATAAACACTGGTATGACTATGCTTAAGCATGTCAAATATTTATTTGTTTGACGCATACACAGGCTTTCAAATATTGAAGAGTGTTAAGTTTATTTCCTTCAAAATGGTCAATTTTCAACTAAATAGTGCACAACAGAAAATATTCACCCATTATATTATGAAAATGCTGGTTCATGTTTCTCTTTCTAATTCCATATCTCCTAAACCTGTTGTACTTGTTGAATGAAATTTCATATTTGCATACTTAATTTATTCCAGATTAGGAATATATAAACTAACTCTGAATCCCTGACGCGGTCAGAAATGACCATTAACATCATTTTTGCTTTACAGTTCTTTTATATTAACCTACAGTAGAGATTTGTACTCTTTTTTTTATAAAATGTATGTTTGATCTTATTAGCAGTGAAGATGAAGATGAGGAGAATTTTTTTGGTGCCCAGGGAACACCAGGAGCTGTACAGAGACTCCTCAGAGGTAGGCAATTAAAACTTAAAGTTAAAAGTATGAAGATATCAGTCAGAAGAAATCTGGTATAATTTGCTCTCATGTACATGTGTAGGTTTCCTTGTTTACATTTTCTTTAGTGTGCATCAGACACTGTGATCATCATTTAGTGTTGTATCTACTATAAAAGGAAACTGAAACAAGGACACTGATCATTTAGTGTTGTATCTACTATAAAAAGGAAACTGAAACAAGGACACTGATCATTTAGTGTTGTATCTCCTATAAAAAGGAAACTGAAACAAGGACACTGATCATTTAATATTGTACGTATCTACTATAAAAAGGAAACTGAAACAAGGACATTTACGCTTGAGGAGGGATTAGGAGTTTTACTCAGTTGTTTTATATTTTGCAAATTTCACCATATGTATTTATGATATCTACCTTGAGCCCAGAATTTAAACAGATATAGCCTGTGGAATGTGCACAGCTATATTAGTAATATTTATCTGTTTATATTATATTGGGGAAAGCATTTGGTTCAAGGTTGATAAATAACAGGCTGTTTTGAGAGTACTACATGTATGTTTATTCTGAAAAATAAATGAAATTGAATTATCGGTAAACTGTGTAGGCCAACTCTTCATATATAGTACAAATACATGTATATATAAACTATGTTTTTTCACTTTTTAGCTAAGGCGTTAGCCGCCAGCTATTGGTATTACTTTAGTTAATGAGCTCAGATATTCATAAATGTCGATTTCACACAGACGGCCTCTAGCGGTAGTCACTGGTACTAAATTGAATCATATACCGGACCTACTGTCTTTATTATGCGTAACTTTGGACTCAAATGCACTTGAATGGCTTGTAAATATCATTACTTTTCTTTATAGAACATATGATCTTATCACAACGTCGTATTCTTATTGAAAATGCACCCTGTTTATCTCAATCGGGAACTGCTACTTGAATGTAGGTCATGCATGCTACACGCAACTTCCGGTAAAAATACTTCAGTTAATGAGCTCAGATATTCATAAACGAGACATAACGTCACCTTCTAGTAATACTAAACAAACTGCAAATAAAATCCATTACCACGGACTCAAGTTCACTCAAACGTCATTGGATATAATCTTATTCTTAGTTAGAACTAAGTATCCTTCTAAAACTTCGTATTTACTCTTGGAACTGTCGCTGGATTAACCCTTTACACGGAAATATTGTCCTGTGATTGGCTAAAATTGGTGACATTTACGTCCCTGTTTACAATTATATATTGCGTGGTCAGAGCTATGAAGCGGTCCTGTTCCAACTAACTGAGGATAATCAAAAGTGCTAATCAGTAATAATATATCTGATTCACGCTTCATATGATTATAATGTTATCAAAATATTGCATATTCGTTCATCGTTAAAATAACAAATCCTTACTAAAAACTCTAAAAAAAGAAACGACGGCCATGTTAGATCACGCGTGATGTTATCCGTTTCCTTATATGGCCTTCACGGCCAAATATAGTATTACTACTGATGCGGTCATGTTTACTACAATTTCCATATTTGGTCATGACACCCATATTTAGACGTCTGACCTATATCGGAAAGATTGAGGAAGTTTCCAACATGGCAGTCAATTAGGATTTCGCTTGCACTTGTTACGTAAACTTGATAATTTAACGAAATATAAGGCGGAGTATAACTTACAATTATGTAGGAGATCAACATAAAAAGTTCATATTACAAACCTATTAATGGATACGGATCCTGTCAATTAATTCTAAAATCGCCTCCGTGTGATTCACACCAGGCTTGCCTAACTAAAATGGGATCAACCGGCCGGGGCAGATGAGACCGGGAATCATGTTAGAACTAGCCACTGTCCTTCTCTAGTTCCATATTGGTATTCTAACCTGAAGGCTTTTTTTACCTTCGCAGTATTATCATTTTGTTCTATTTTCATCATAAGATATGCTATTGCATTTTTATATCGCCTTCTCGCTAATTACAGCTCAGCCAGAAACGAAAATATGCTCCGATAGGCCTACATTTTATATGTCTGTTGGTGTGATTTGTGTTTTTCGTTTATTGAAGTATTACCATATAACAGGACTCTTTTATTTCAATATACACAAAAACAACAACACCTTCGGAATGATTTCAGACATATACTGCGGGAAAACACGAGTGATCTCCCTTACATTTAGACATGCGCACATTTTACTTTCGTTTTGTGTAGGCCTAGACATCATTCGCAACGCGAAGCGGAAAAGACGAAAATGCAGGCGAGTGTTGACTTAATGTTAGGCATGTTGTTTAAGCAGCATTGACAATGAACAATATACATACACTTCTGCAACGTTTACCTACTACTGATTCATAAATAAGGCTATGTATCCCGATTTCGGTGACTTGTGGCCAAGCATGCGGCCGAAGCCGCAGAGAATGGCGCATGTTGTCAGCGGCGATGACAAAAAGGAAGGTGCTTCTACGGTATGTATAGCAGTTATTATGCAAAAACAAACATAATAAACGGACGTTTTACTCTAGTGAATTACAGCGTCACGAGGAACGTCTTTCTCCAGACGTGTTGCAAAATTTTCGAACTGCTTAGTTGCAAACTGATTTCACTTAAGCGTTGTTTGTGAGGATATTTGGCCTTACATTTCTTCTCATTCAGTTAAAAAAAAACATGTTATAAACATTGTATTATTAGATTCATTGTGATGTTGGCTTTCATTGAAGTTTCAATTGTTATACTACTTGATGTTTTGGAAACTTAAACAAGTATAGTAGTTCTAAATATTATGAAATGACAGAAACATTAGGCCAAACAAATTACTTGTGTTTCTACTATCAGAAAAAAATAGGGTAGGTATGTATTAGCTAGGCATTTTATTGTTAATTTGAAAAATATCTTTACTGCGCTAATATAGAGCAGGAGTTCTGACTTTAACAGTGCATATAAAAACTTAAGGGTATTGTAGAACACAAATCTGAGATAAGTCTGGTTAACCACACTGGTGTCGAACACACCAATAAGTATAGTGTGTATAATATATCATAGTTTATACACATCATATTACTATTAGTGTGTCCAGTATCTGTGGGGTTAGCATAAACTCAATATTTGTTTTAAACTTTTAATTGGCCTTATATAATGATCATTTATAGGTCAGACAGGGTTTGGTTTCCAATTCGGAAACTAGACCTGTTAAAACAGTTATCATTTGTAATTTAGAGATTAAATATTTCTAAGCAGAAAAAAATGAACTATAAATATTTTTCAACCTTTTCTGAGTTGTACAATTTTAGAGTATCTTCTGTCTGAAATCTGAACATAACTTGTTTTATGATAAATGTGTAAAACAATTCCTCATACTGGGGTAAAGTTTTTCTATATATAGTCCCAAAAACTACAGATAAAATCCTTGAGCACGTACAAGATACAAAAATATATATTTTACGTCCATTTTGCAAAACATACAACATAAGCTACAAAGACAAAACATGAGTATAATAACAGAGACCAAAATATTACAACATGGAAAAATAAAATAAAAACATGTATGTACATGTAGTATACTGTAAGCTCAGAAAAAGAGTTTATCACTTGGAAAGCACTTAATAGGCACATTGAACACGGTAAGCACATCAGCACATGGTAATTTAAGCACATTTAGAACATTTGCATACAGCACATAAAAAACAAAACCATAACATGGAAAGCTTATTAGCACATAGTAGGCACATTTGCACATTGTAAGCAAAATAAAGGAGTGCAATGGACATCTCCATGTTTCCTGGTTAATTTCTTCTTTATGGAAACAACCAGGGGAGAGTGATGTTCTGCTTCATCTTTTGTATTAATGAAAACCGTGAATATCTAAGTGCGTGTGTTTAAACTAATTTTGTTTTGTTTTTACTGGTACCTTTTTATGTACACATGTTTTACCACCTAAGGAATTAGATGTCTTAAGCCCCCATATGATGTGCTGTTATAAGTTGAATTTAATGTACATTTTGTTTATATTTAGTTCTGCTACCAAAGAGATTGACTTATTGAAATGTTTTTGAAACATTTTAATGAACTCCTCAGCTTTAATGCCTTATTTCTCACTATACAAGCTCATATTGCTATGCCTCCTATTTGTTTGAATATCATCTCTAAACATTATTGCTGGTGCAGAAATTATATGGTAACTATGTTCTATTTTAGGGGGGGAAAGCAATCAATATTACAACAGACAGGGATGGTTATTGATGGGAGAAAGGAGGATGAGAAATAGGAACTGTACCAACTCTCTCATACCTTTGAGGACTTCATGAACTTTTTCAAAAGGCTGCAAGAACTATACCAACAGTGACATGACATTTTGAAATCTGTCAGTTACTTTATAGAGGAGGAACCTCTGACTAAATCATTTTCTCTCAGACACATGAAAGCCGAGTCCACAGATCCTTCCATCAGCGAATAGTTCAAATGTAGTTCAAATGCTTTCCTCGCAAACTTTTCCTTAATGGAGAAGTCAGTGATCTTTACTTGGAACAGATTGAATCTGTGAATATTGATGCTGAAAGCCTGATGAATGTGATTGAACAGCCCCTACTTGATGCTGAAACCCTGATGAATGTGATTGAACACCCACTACTGACTAAGGGCACAAATGTTGGAAACAACGTTTGTTTTGATCAATATAACACTATGGGTGGTGGGAGCAAATTGGAAAAAAAATTAAAAGTATGTTTTTAAAGATAGAAATACTGGTCATGGCTTCCTTTTAGTTTTTGTCCAATGAATTAAAAGTCAACGCAAATGTTAAGTAGTAAAAGAAATGTAAGATCCCTGGTATACATTGTACTTTTAACAATGCTTATGATCAATATCAATAAAATAAAATAAAAGTTATAATATGTAACTTGATATTTGTTAACTTCGCTCGATTTTACTGTGTCCAACATTTGATATTAAATCTTGTGTGATATATGAGAGGGATAGCACACAAGATTGTATCAATGTCAATGAAAGCAATTATTTCTTAAGTTTTCAACCATATTTCTTGAAACTTCATTTCTAAATTTCATACATCAATTGTTCAAGACAGTTTTAAGGTCAATTTCATTCAGTCAAGGTGAAGGCTACAGCTTCACAACCTGTTCATGTACATGTGACAGAGAAATTGTCAGTGCATTCCTAACTAAGTATTCAAACCAAATTTTATAAACCTTGATCCATCATTCTCAACATTAAATCATGCACTACCTGTTTGCATATACACAAGCAACCTCAACTTTCAATAAGTCCTGTTGTCAACATTTGTTGCACAATGCTATCAGTTCTGAAACCAACAATCATGACAACTGTAATAACATAGTATGTGTTCTAGCTGGTACATTTGCAGTACTCTTTTGAAATGTATTTGAAATTAATATGTGCATCTTATTTCAAATGCTAGCCTATGAAGATGATAAAGCTGAACATATGCTATAAAGTTGTTGTTTTCTTTGTGAAGAATTTATGCAATGGAAATAGAGGGAAAATAATGTAACTCTCCTAATCTTGTGTGTGTGTGTGAGTATGTATGTTTATATTTTGTTTATCTTATTCAATATTGAAACATACAACAATGTATCATATTGAATTAGAGTGCTTTTTATATTATTTGTTCATGGGAACACAGATTCAAAATAGTTCCATTTTTCATAAGAAGAGACCTTTTCACTGCAGTGAATATGTAAAACACTTTATTTAAAAGTTTTTCAAAATTATTGAGAGACTTGTAAATTTATGGGTAGCAGTAATCCACTTGCTTATCCACAATTTAGTTTCGGCAAGTAAACATCCTTATAAATATTGTTCTGTAACAATATACACTGACTGATGCAAAATTGAAACTTGAACAAAATTCACACGTATTAAAAAGCATGCCAACCCTGGTCGATGTGCACACTTTACAAGATAACTTGCTTGAATATATATTGATCAATATACAAACTTAGACGATAAGTTCAAAGTTGAGTGAAATCCATGCCTAATTAATTAGCATACTGTACTCTGATTGGTCAATGGTTTTATGCCAAGTAACTTTGTTAGATAAGGCAAGGGTTGATATCTTATTCAACAACAAAGGCAAAGTTCAAAGATGTTCACAATCTGTGCATAATCTATTCAATGGTTTAAAATAATCAGGTATTGGTCAAAGGGGTAAATGCCAGTTTCAGTTTTTAATGTTCTATGAAATACATTGTATGGACAAAGGGAAGCAATTCCAAATTCCTATGCAAATTAATTATCCAAAGGTTTAAAATGATATATTCTAGAGGAAACTTGGTACCACTCTTCTGACAAACCTATAAAGATATACTGTACACACAAGAAGAATAACTTCACAGTGGTACACTTTTACATAAAACTTTGATTCATAACAAATTAACAGTAAATCCTTCTGTACAATATGATGGGAACTTCGTCTTTATTTTGTTCTCCATTCCAAAAATAATATATATATCTTTTGCCTTAGCTTTCAGTACTTTCAGTACTTTGATTAAAAGTATATTTGTCAAATTCAGTGCTACTTAAATATCAAAACAGTCAAATTTTTATACTTTTTTTCTTCTTTTTGAGATTGCACTAGTTTTCTTATATATATTGCTTGTCCAAATAGCATAAAGGACTGTCAGTATGTGTATATGGTTATCTAGAGGTAAATGTTGACAGAGTATAGCAGCACAATACAACAGATAGCTCCATTATTGTTGAATGCACATTTTTATCTCTTTTCAGATTTAAAAGGAATGAAAGAATCCTATAAATTTGGAATTGAAGGACGACCAAGGGGAGATAATCTGTTTATTTGGGTAGGTAGAATGAGAGTATTTTTATTTGGGTAGGTAGAATGAGAGTATTACTGGTTTTAAGTATAGAGATGGTCCAGTGGTGTTTCTTGTACGTACGTAGCTGTGATTTTGACAGGTTTACCAGTAGTGTCCAATAGCGTTTCTTTGTGACAGTCATATAACATATCAAATGGGGAATTTATTTGTTTTAGAGATTTTTAAATCAGGATTTAAATTACATGTGTGTGAATGATTTTGAAGAAGTTGACAAATTCAAAAAGCAAAGAGAATTTTCCAAAAGTACTTGAAGGCCCATAAAGAAACATATCGTCCAGCCATGATAATCTAATTATTAGAACTTTTTTTCAGAGATAAATATGTCAATAATCTTGAAAAGAATGATCATTTGATTAAGTATAGGGGTTTTACATTATGTTACAGGATGTAAAATTGAAGGATTTCCCCCCAGAATCAAAGTTAGGAAAAGATCTTCAAAATTTTGCTGATAAATTCAAGAGAGAGGTAAGTTGAAAATATTTCTTGTCATTTCAAAGTTTTTCATGTTATACATATAAACGGCTATTAACTTCCTCAAAGTTCAATTTTTTAAAACTTTATACAGTCCTGTATTTGTCAAATTAAAGATTTTCCTCATCAGATCTTTAAGCTGCCACTGACTCCAATCATAAAGCAATAGTTTGAGGATTTTATTTTCTCTACATGTTAACACTTTACTGGAGGACTTGTTATCTCTAAATATTCTACCCGGATCCCTTGATACTTTCATTGTTACAGCCAGCTGTCTACATAGAGATGCATTTCCCTGGGGAATATCCAATGAAGCCTCCATTTGTTAGAATTTTGCGTCCCAGATTTAAATTTTTAACAGGTAAGTAAATCACATTAACTCATTCAACCCTGAAATTTCATATTGAACTATTCCAACCTTTGAATTAGAAGAGTTCATATGTGTCTTCAGGAATGAATGAGTTAATTTCAGAGTTCAGGTTTTGTTCCTGACTCAGAGGTGCAATTTTATCAGTCCAAAATATCACATAAAAAGGCACTGACCCATTCAGATGAGATTTAAATGTCTAAAACATACGATACAGTGTACTTGATTAATGCTATGACTCACCAAGATACCATTGCATCATTCCAAACATGGTCTGATACATTGTAGCTGTGAATCTGAAGAGCCTGATTAATTCTTAGCTGATAGCTTGGCCATCATGCCTGACATTTATGTTTTAAATGTGACAAAAAATTACAGTGTATATTCTCAACAGATATTTTTTATCTTCTGTTTAATTGTCAGTTCTAATAAAGCATTATACATCAAAATAAATATTCTGAATTAAATTAAGTTTTCAAAATAAATGTCTCACAGACCCATACACATTATGTTGTTGACTAAATGTCTTTACCGGAAAAATAAAATTATCTTCAGATTTGTGTATTCTCTCCCCTTCTCTATGATAGGCCATGTGACCATAGGTGGCAGCATCTGTATGCAAATGTTGACAAATTCTGGTTGGACACCCACAAATGATATAGAGGTAAGACTTTCTCATAATGTGTATACAGTTTGTATTGGTTCACTCCACATTCATACAATTAACCCTTCAGTTTTCATCCAATTAATTCCTTGAAACTTAGTTGGTATAACCGCCATTGTATGCAGGTGTGTATTTGTACCCAGCATTCTATCTTGTAGCGTTTAAGAAATTTGATTGGGGTTTTTTTGTACTAGGAGAACAAATAGATATTTCTGCCTTTCAGTCCTTCAGTTAATGTTCCTGTATCTCTATGAATATTCATGACTCGAAAAATAACATTCCTGTCCTGCAGTCTTCCTATGAATATTCATGTCTACTTTCAACACAACATCTTCGCCAGTTCAATTATACCACCCCTCTCCCTCAGATCTCTAGTGTAATCACTGACTGTATGCTTTGAAAAAACAATTATGATCAACATCCTCCCTCAAATGACCTGAGCTGACTGTTACCTTGTGTACTAAAAAGTTGAGACCCACATGTACACATACTCATAAATACAGCTCACCTTTATTTTCATTTGTCGGAGAACTTGTCATTTAGCATAGGTAACATGTACTCGGGACCTTCTGGTAAAACCAACACATGCAAAGTTCTGTCAATCTGATGTGTGACCATGTGATTGTTTGTGACTTAATGCAGCAAACTTCCATTCCAGGCCATCCTTGTTCAGATACGATCAGAGATTATGAGTGACCCGAATGCCCAGCTTGAGAGGAGCGACTCCGATCGGCCCTACGGAGAACAAGAAGCCAGAGACGCATTCACTCGCATGGTGAAAAGATACGGATGGTGAAAAGAAAATGTTTGAAAGTGTTTGTTATACGAAAACAAATTCTTGTTTAAGACTTACCAGTAAGAAATACATTCCCAGTCATAGTTGTACCACTGATTACTCGTCCTATCGATTACAGCTGTCTCTCACTTCAACTGTATTCTGATACATGGACTGTGTCTCATGGAGAGGGTGTTTCACCTTGTTATAAGACGTTTATAGGCCTCCTAGTGGTTATAATGAGGCTTCACCAACATTTAGCGTGGATGTGTTGTATATTTATATCGTAGACTTCACCGCGATCAAACTGGGAGTACATAAACTTTCTTCTATAAAGGGAATCCATTAAAATAATAAGTGATTTTTTAAGTATTCACTTCAGGATGAGAGATAGTAGAAAGTGATTCATTCTTTGATGTCGGGATACGTAGTAAAAACACATTACAATAATTATTCTTTGATGTCGGGATACGTAGTAAAAACACATGACAATGATTATTCTTTCATGTTGGGATACATAGCAAAAACCCATGACAATGAATATTCATTGATGTTGGGATACATAGTAAAAACATATCACAATGATTATTCTTTGATGTCGGGATACATAGTAAAAACACATCACAATAATTATTCTTTGATGTCAGAATACATTGTAAAAACACATGACGATGATTATTCATTGATGTCGGGATACATAGTAAAAACACATCACAATGATTATTCTTTGATGTCGGGATACATAGTAAAAACACATGACAATGATTATTCTTTGATGTTGGGATACATAGTAAAAACACATCACAATGATTATTCTTTGATGTCGGGATACATAGTAAAAACATATCACAATGATTATTCTTTGATGTCGGGATACATAGTAAAAACACATTACAATGATTATCTACACAAGTATTGGCAAACACATGCACATTCTAACTGGTAGATACTGTAAACCATTCACATGTATATATAATGTATATTTTAGCAGAACTCCGGATATCAAATTCTTCTACAGGATTTTTGAGCAATGAATTTTGTACAAAGCAGATAAGTCAATTATCCTTCCTATTCTATTGTTACAGACTGTTGCAAGCAATAGAGTCTGTGTAAAAAACATCACAACAAATTGTATACAGTAAACACATTGTCACTGCTTCCATGGGTCCATCCAGTTGTCAAAAAAGATATGTACAAGATCTCTCAACAGACCCTTTGGATGTGGTTAGGAAAAAATAAGAATGTCCAAGTTAAAACGTTTTATAGTTCCGGGGCCAGCTGTTTCTCACATCGTTGATTATGATGTGGATGCCCTGTACTAGATAGTGCATGTAGTACATATATATGTACATCCCCAGATATTGCTTGTCAATGTATAAATTGTTTGTATGTCAATCTCATTTTTTGGTGAATTTCAAACATTTCATTGAACTTTTCATGAAAATATTCAGTTTGATGAGTAAAGATATATTTTTGTTAAATACCAAAGATAAGTAAAATGTAAACGTCCATTTTTATATAAAGTTTCTGGTTTTCCTCAACGACAGTATTTTATACACAGAATTTTAGAATTTTTGTGCTGTTAACTGTACTTGTTTTGATTTACAGTTCAATAAGGTACTGTACATGACAGTTGTAACAGTAATAGACTACGTTGTATGGCTAACGATATTGGTAGACTTACAATATAGGTAATATCCTCACTGCATGAAAGAGTAGGAGTTTGCTGTCATGTTCACAAATGATTCCCTCCAAATTGTATCAATGGTAAACCCTTTCACCGCTGTAGACCATAATGAACTCATCCATATCAATACATGGTAGAGTCTACTAACGTTACATAGGGGTGAAATGGTTAATGAATGAATAGGGTAGTGAGTGTCTAGCTAGCTATTTTTGTATTGGTTGTTTTATAATTGTACAAATGTATTGTTGATCATCGTTATTTTGCTTTCTGTTATTGTTAATGATAAGATCCATACCCCAAACACTGAGAAAAAATATTCTTATGGAGGTGTAGATATTTTTGTCTAGAATGTGAGGCTGTATTTTTCACTTCTGTTATAGAGGTCATGTTACATGTATAGAGGTCATGTACTGGTAAAATATATCATGCAAATTTTAATTCGGGTTGTCAAACCAGACTAATTTGAGTAACTGGTTACTCAAAAAATCTCCCAACTGATTAGCTGTTTAATCGGTCAATTTGTCAATCAAATAATTAGCTACAAATACATAAATGTCGGACTATTTCGTTATTGATTTCAGTAAAAGGTCCGAGTAACTGGTTAACTAGCTAAATATCGACAATCTCTTAATTTTAAGGGAATTGGAATTACTAGCAAGTTTGTAATTTGATAAATCGAGTTTTATATGTGTCTGTACAGGTAATACGAACAAAAAGTGTATGACTTTAAGGCAAAATTGATCGCCAAGTGCTGGTTTTTTTTTTTGCATTAAATCAGTTGCAGGTATTTTGTGTCCAAATGTTAAGAGTCTGGATTTGAGGATTTGTTTTATGTTTAAGAATGATGTCATTGAATGTCATTAAATTAAAAATAGACTGTTATCTCAATATTTTATAACATGAAACATTTATGGATGTTTCCTTTTGCTGTAAATATTACATCAACAAACAACTCAGTTGATACGAACGATTCCTGTCCACCGCTACAATTGTACGCTAGTTAAATTATTCAATGCACAATTATCCATGATAGCATGGTAACCAAGACAACTTCAAAAGAATTACAATGTAAAAGTTTCATGTGATACAGTAAAGTATTGGGATAATTGTATACCTGTGTTTAAAATATACGGAGCTGTACTTAATGCGTGATGGAATGAGAGTGAAAGATATAAACAGTCGAAGTCAGTTCTTATTATTAGTTTGTTTACATGTTGTCTTGTCTGTATCTCTATTAGTTAGGTCAGATGTGCAATTGTGAGTTAGCCCTTTACGAGAAGTGTAATTGTGCCGAAAATATCCGTTACTGTTGTAGCTGACTGTTAAGCACTGAATGAGTGATTTATTATGGTATCAAGTACAACATAATTGATTGTGTTGACATTTGTACATTATTATTAATATTAAATATGACGGTTGATACATTGGAAATAAATTATTTCAAAATATTGGTTTTGGTTAAGGTTTGCACTATCTCAGAAAGTTAGAATTAAGATATTTAGCAAATCTTGTGCCATTAATACATTCTGAAACAGTATCATGTAGACCGGTTTTGAGTCTTTCCTTAACAAAATAAGTTCAACATATATGATCGTATGACAGAATACCTGTATTTCAAAATGTAGAATGGGATATATATTGATTGCAAAGGACCGGGGAGCTTTTTGCATGTCACAGTGTCTGTTGTCCTTCAACCTTTCAAACCTTACTTAACCTGAATAATTCATAAGATTTCAACCAAGTTTACTTTGTTGCATTCTTAGCATGGATAGGTGTGCCCCTCCCCCACTGGGGAGTAAGGGTAAAGGAGACAATTTCGTCTTCAAAACCTACAAAGACTAACCATTTTGGGTCTGAAATATTACTAGGGCAGTGATCATATTTGGTAATCCCTGGGGTCAGAGAGACAGGCAAAAATATGAATTTAAGTGATTTGTGCTTTAAAATATGCTTCTCCTGAACAACGACACGGATTAAAATCATATTTGATTTGAAAACTCATGAGGACAAGCTGATGCTATTTTAATGAAGATGGTGACCCAATAAAAGGAATTTTGATTAAAAAGTTGTATTAATAAAATTCAGTAACCATGTATACAATTGCTAGGCATGAAGAAATGGAAACACTCGTGCTATTAGGATTGGTCCCAGAGTCGGGCCTTGTTCACATGTTCAAACTCCCTAGACCCTTACATGGATTTGGTCGAGATTATTACTTCGTAACCATGTAAACAATTGATTTGTATGGAGAAATTAATACACTCTTGCTACGAGAATTAGCTCTGTGATCTGGCCTGCTTTATTGGGACTTACTTGCTGGGTCATAATTTGAAAACATTTGGTTTGGTTTTACTTTGTTAAAGGTCCTATCAACAGCTAAGGTCATTCAAGGACGTGTCTCAATGTGTGTAATGTATACGTACTTGTGTGTATGAGTGCTGGAGGCAAGGAATGTTGCTGTATCTGATGCCGACTTTTAGAGTGCTACCTCACTGAAAAACTATGCCCAAGGTACCCAGCACAGCATTCCACCCAGTCACATTATACTGACAACGAGTGAACCAGTTGGTGCCCTTTCCCTAAGTGCTGAACGTTAAGCAGGGAATACAGCTACCTGTTTTAAAGGACTTAAGTATTTCCTGGCCTGGTGGCAGAATCCATTGCCTACCCCACTTGGGGGAACGCTGATCAATAAGACCAAAAATAACGTATTGCCAAGCAAGGCACTATGGAACAAAATAACGTTCAGGAAGTAGATAGAAACTAAAAAGAGCCAAAATTTTGCAATGGGGGCAGCAGATCAATTGTGGATTCTTCAATGTCTCCTTAGCAGATGACACAGAACAAGGACCCTAATCTGCAGGTCTTAGGGTCTTCACATCTTCACATTAGTCGCCTTTTACGACATGTGGTGGAATAAAGTAGGCCCCCAGACCAGCAGTGTTATGAAATAATTGACATCTTCACCCCATAACTATCAATATATATGAAATTATTTGGCATCAAGAAACTCTTGGCCAACCATGTGAATTTAATCCTTGTCACAGCTTATAATTCTTGTATTCTTTTGATAAACTTGCACGATCTTCTAAAAGTCACAGTTTGTTCTTTCCTCATAGATTACATATTACCCCTTGTTGGAATCTGGCAATGCTAACAGCTTTTCTTCTCGGATTAGAGTCTGCTAAAGCTCATAGCTTGCTCATAAGCCCTTGGTATCTATTTCAAAGCTTACAGCTTTACCCTTCCTCGTTACCCTAAGCTTTGTTCTTTTGCGTCTGAATTTGTTTAAGGTCAACACTTTCTCACAAATTGCTCATTCTGTGTTAGATTTTGTTAGAATCTGATAGCTAGCTCATTTCCCGTTGGGATCTACTATTTAAATCTTGCATCTTTCCCTTCCTTGTTGGAACCAGATTATTACCACAGCTTTATTCTCAGTGTATAAATTTGCTAAAGGTCACCGCTTTCTCACAAATTGCTCCGGCTGAGTTAGATCTATCAAAGCTCACAGCTTACTTCTTTCTCGATTGAACTTGTTGATGCCTACATCTTGTCGTTTTTATTAACGCCTGAACTCAGCATTTCAAAATTTCTATTATACAATTTTCTTAAGCATCTCTTTTTTAGGTTCATCGATCTGGTATACTCTTGAATATTCTCTTGAAACTCTTGAACTCGTTTTCTTGACAACCCTCTGTAGGAAAGTGTACGCGGTTAACCGCCATATTTCTTTCCTCAAATCTTGAAACGACTTCTACAGAACAAATAACACACATTCAAAGTTAGAAATTTCAAATGACTTCTACTGTCGATTCAAGACGGATCATGTCGTGATTTTCTGTAACTTGATGGCTTGTTGACACGCATACAATAGTGGTGACTCTTGTTACTCGTAATGTGTCCGTCAGACACGTATACAAGGAAGTGTGTCATCAAACCATATACACATGTCATGTTTGTCCCACAAAAATAAATGACATAAATGTTCAATTGCAAAGCATTTATTACAGAACAACCCTATCCAAATATATGGTCACCAAATAAAGCATTGACGTGAGCGGCAGACACGAAGCGAGACAGATCGACTTCTGTAAGCTGGTAGCCTCCACCGAGGTGTTCCATGATGGAGTTGATTTCATTAAAGTTATGCTGCACTGAAGTGCCTGATCCGGACCCTCCGAATGTAAATACGAACAGAAACACAAGCTGGTCGTCTATGATGAAGAAGGACGGATTCCCACTGTCGCCGGAGATCTTTCGCTCATAGTACTTGTGTCTTGTTGAAGTAGTGATGGGTTCTATCAGGGACGCCATTGTTCCCCTCATATTGCTGAAATCTGCAACCAATGCCTTCTCTTCGAAATCAGTGCTGAAGACGGGCAGTCGGACCCTCTCCCTGCTAGGCATTAGTACAGTGAAGTTCCTCGGCAGGACTTTCGCGAAGGAGATCGTGGATGGTACATCACTGTCTAAGAGCCCTATCACCATATCATGACCAAAGAGGAAACTCTGGTGAGCCGACGCGTTGGTGTATAGGGCCCTTGTCTTTATCACCCGCCTATCCACCACATTGTTATGACGGTCCACGAATCGGAGCGTGCTGTTGACGCGGATGCTGTAATGCCTTGCCCACACCGCGTGCCGTGGGGATAACAGCGTTCCCGCCTTGCGAGTTTTCCCATAGCTGTTCCATGGGGATATTGGGGTCAAGTCGAGATCATGCGCCCAGCAGTGCGGATTCCGTTGATACACTTTGTGTGTGTGGTCCTGTTTGGAGAATATTGGCTTCGACACGTTGGCAGTTGTGCCTGCTGCTTCTGTCCTCTTTAGCCGGTCGTCTACACCATGGACCATTGATGCAAACAGGTTGGTCTCCTCTGAAGTGAGGGGTCGAGGAACGGCAGCGACGTACAGTGGGTGGTCACAGTTCGGTCCCAACTTAGTCAAATGAAACGATTCGTTGTGGAAAAATGTGAGTCTGCAGAAATGTTCCTGAAGTTGACAGCTTGAAAACAAGAGAAAGTGACAGAATAGAATAAATTTTCTTAAATGTATACTATAATTAGTTTTCCCAGAGACATATTTCATGATCGTGTTTCAAAAACCCTTACTTAAAGAGTGACCTACCTGCCATTGTAGACTCTGCCCTTATCGTCACAGAAGTACTGGTCAACATGAGTTGTGGCCTCAGGGGGACAGTTAGTGTCTACCACATCCAGACAGTCCTGTAGACTTCCCCAAACGGTGCCAAGCACTGCAGAAAGTAAAATAGAAAATATACCTCAATGTCGGTAAACGTGGTAAGCATTTACCACATCGTCAGGACTCATCGTACAAAATATACCACATCGTCAGTACACATTGTACAAAATATACCCCAGTGTCAGTACACAGTGTACAAAATATACCACGTCGTCAGAACACATTGTGCAAAATATACCCACTGTCAACACACAATGTAAAAAAAATACCAAATCGTCAGAACACATTGCACAAAATATACCCCATTGTCAGTACACCTTGTAAAAAATATACCACATTGTCAGTACACATTTTACAAAATAAACCCCATCGTCAGAACACATTGTGCAAAATATACCACATCGTCAGAACTCATTGTACAAAATATACAACATCGTCAGAACACGTTGTACAAAATATACCCACAGTCAACACACAATGTACAAAATATACCCCCTGTCAACTCACAATGGACAAAATAAACCCCATTGTAAGTACACAATGTACAAAATATACCAAATATTTAGAACACATTGGACAAAATAAACCCCATCGTCAGTCCACATTGTACAAAATATACCCCCTGTCAACTCACAATGGACAAAATAAACCCCATTGTCAGTTCACATTGTACAAAATAAACCTAATTGTCAGTACACATTGTACATAATATACAACATCGTCAGAACACGTTGTACAAAATATACCCCCTGTCAACTCACAATGGACAAAATAAACCCCATCGTCAGAACACATTGTACACAATATACCACATTGTCAGTACGCATTGTACAAAATATACCACGTCGTCAGAACACATTGTACACAATATACCACATTGTCAGTACGCATTGTACAAAATATACAGCATCGTCAGTACACGTTCTACAAAATAAACCCCATCGTCAGTACACATTGGTACAAAATAAACCCCATTGGCAGTACACATTGTACAAAATAAACCTAATTGTCAGTACACATTGTACATAATATACAACATCGTCAGAACACGTTGTACAAAATAACCCCCATCGTCAGTACACATTGTGCAAAATATACCACATCGTCAGAACACGTTGTACAAAATATACCCCATCGTCAACTCACAAAGTACAAAATATACCACATATTTAGAAAACATTGTACAAAATATACCTACTGTCAACACACAATGTACAAAATATTCCCCATTGTCAGTACACCATGTACAAAATATACCCCATCGTCAACTCACAAAGTACAAAATATACCACATTGTCAGTACACATTTTACAAAATAAACCCCATTGTCAGTTCACATTGTACAAAATATTCCCCATTGTCAGTACACAATGTCCAAAATATACCACATTGTCAGTACACTTTGTACAAAATATACCGCATCGTCAGAACACATTGCACAAAATATACCACATTGACAGCACACATTGTACAAAATAAAGCCCATTGTCAGTACACAATGTCCAAAATATACCACATTGTCAGTACGCATTGTACAAAATATACCTACTGTCAACACACAATGTACAGAATATACCACATCGTCAGAACTCATTGTACAAAATATACCTACTGTCAACACACAATGTACAGAATATACCACATCGTCAGCTCACAATGTACAAAATATACCAAATATTTAGAACACATTGGACAAAATAAACCCCATCGTCAGTACACATTGTACATAATATACAACATCGTCAGAACACGTTGTACAAAATATACCCACAGTCAACACACAATGTACAGAATATACCACATCGTCAGAACTCATTGTACAAAATATACCTACTGTCAACACACAATGTAAAAAAAATACCAAATCGTCAGAACACATTGCACAAAATATACCACATTGTCCGCACACATTGTACAAAATATGCCCACTGTCAACACACAATGTACAGAATATACCACATCGTCAGTACACATTGGTACAAAATAAACCCCATTGTCAGTTCACATTGTACAAAATAACCCCCATCGTCAGTACACATTGTGCAAAATATACCACATCGTCAAATCACAATGTACAAAATATACCCCATCGTCAGAACACATTGCACAAAATATACCACATTGTCCGCACACATTGTACAAAATATGCCCACTGTCAACACACAATGGACAAAATATACCACATCGTCAGCTCACAATGTACAAAATATACCACAAAGTCAGAACACATTGTACACAATATACCACATTGTCAGTACGCATTGTACAAAATATACCTACTGTCAACACACAATGGACAAAATATACCACATCGTCAGAACACATTGTACAAAATATACAACATCGTCAGTACACGTTGTACAAAATAAACCCCATCGTCAGTACACGTTGTACAAAATATACCCCATTGTCAGTACACATTGTACAAAATATACCACATCGTCAACTCACAATGTACAAAATAAACCCCATTGTCAGTACACGTTGTACAAAATAAACCCCATCGTCAGAACACATTGTACAAAATATACCACATTGTCAGTACACGTTGTACAAAATAAACCCCATCGTCAGTACACGTTGTACAAAATATACCACATTGTCAGTTCACATTGTACAAAATATACCACATCGTCAACTCACAATGTACAACATAACCACTCTGCCAACACACAACCAATTTAAACGATATATATAGAATCAACGCAAAAGTACATGTCATAATCGATAAAATAAATAGGAAACTGGATTTGAGGAAGCTCAAAAGCAGAAGTAAAGACATATGAAAGGAGTCAACATCAAATGCTTCGGAATGGCAAGTGTTTCCTGCACCACATGACACACCCGTCAAGGTACATGACGTCAATTACAGAAAATGTCGGTACCTTACGGTGTCAGGCGCGGTCAACAGGTCGCTTATCATAACAGACTGCAGTGTATCGTAGAGAGATCTTACTGAAGATCGTCAATAGAAATCAGTTCACGTAGAAGACCGTAAAATGTCTCTATCGTTAAATGGTAACTCTCCGAATGAAAGCAATTAATAATTGGTATTTAGAGAGCAACATGACATATCTATCAAGAAAGGCTTTATACTTTGAAAGAAAAATCGCTCGTGTATCGAACAAGCTGTGATAGTCAATTCCAAAAGCAGTGAATGCTGATATTATATTAGAGGAAATCCATTTCTAAAGCATACCTGTATACATTTCTGGGGATATGATGTTAGGTTTGATTTGCATTGCTTACATCATTACGGTATTTAATCGAATAGCTCTTACCACAAAGAAATACAGCAAGCGTCGTGTAGAGCCGAAACATAGCGCTGCACCCAATGACGGACAACCCTTGTACGATATATGTAATTACGACTTTTCTTATCTATACTTAACAGACTTATACCGGTCAGCGAGGTCATTGTCGAATATACGTGAAGACCTATAAATGGTTTTACAACTTTGGATACCCTTTCCTACTATATTAAAATTTATTTAAATGTTGGTGGGTTTTTTTTAAAGTTATTCGAGAAAAGAATACATTTGTTGTTACCCACTGCATGTATCGTAAGAGGCGACTAATGTGGGAATCCCTACTGATCCAATTGGGGATTTGCTTTTGTGCCCTCTATTTGAGGACATAAATTAAAGCGACCAAAATAAATCTGCTGCACCCATTACAATATTTGGGATCATCATATATCTCACCATTTCTAACTTCCTTTGATTCCTTAGCGCCTTACTTGGCAACACCTCACTTTTGGCCTTAATTTTGAACGTTCGTCCAGGTGAGGAAGGCATTGGGCTCTATCCCCAGGCCGGGGAATACCAAAGTCATTAAAATTCCCTGCTTAGCGTTCAGTATTTAGGGTAATGGCATCAACTGGTTCACCCGTTGTCGGTATTATGTGACCGGACGTAACTCTAAAGTCGGCACCAGATCCGCGCTATCACAAGGAGGCAATTACACCAGCATACCCTGCCTCCGGCACACATACACAAATGCACGCATACACAACACACATATACACGGAGGCACGTCCTTAAATGACCAAGCTGTTAATAGGACGTTAAACAAAATATACCAAACCAAACCAACCAAACTTGGATGTCTTAATTAAGCCTTGCAGAGAATGAGTAAAGTTTCGAAGGGGGCTCTGTGGCCAAGTGGTTAAGGCGTCTGACATTCTGCTACCACTAGCCCTCCATCACTTGGTCGCGGTTCGAGGCATACCTGTACGTGGGTAGTAGGTCGTTGTTTTTCTCCAGTAACTCCGGTTTTCCTCCATCACTAAAACCTGGCACGCCCTTAAATGACCATAGCTGTTAATAGGATGTAAAACACGAACAAACTAAGTATTTCTACGCGAGTATATCTTTTTGTGATTTCCATTTAAACGACTTTAAAATAAATACCTTTGATTACTTCCTTGTTGTTATCCCAATTTTTTAGGCACAGCGTCAGAATTAGATAAACAACGAAGTTGGCAGGGGAAAATAAGAAACGGGTCCCTCAGTCCGTTCGTATTAAAATAATTGCAATTGATTATGTTTATCTTATAACTTAACTTAAATGTATTTGTAATTAAAACAGCATTAAAATACTATTTTTTTTCACTTACGCTTTATACATTTGGTTTGGATGTTTCCTCCTAAAGGGATAAATCATTATGATGGTAGCGTTTCGTCCCATTCGCGATTGTATAATATGCTAAATGGTATCTAAGGCATCTTATCCCTGTATTTACCGGAATTCGGATCAGCGACTTATAGAGAAATTCCTAAATCGAAGGTATAACCTCAGAAGCTGAAAAGTTAAGAAAGAAATTGAAGGAATTGAAAAGAACCATGATAGAATCCTTAAAGATTTGCCGCATTATCCTTCCACAGTCGACAGTTCCTATATGCTCCGTTACACCAGAGGAAAAGTGTATACGGAAGGCGAAGATTGCAAACACAAAGACGATAGCACAGAGAGGAATCCGGAAGAAATACGGATTCGGCAAGAATCCGATGTCCAAAAGGTGCGTCTGAAATCCAACCGCCGGATTCTAGCGAGCCGGATCCGACCACAACTCCAAGATAACCAAGAGATGCTGCTGATTTTCGATCGCCGGATTCTATTTCCGGACGCCAGAACCGATCACATTCCGACATTTTTTTTTGCGGGGGGAGAAGATTACTCAAAAAAAACCACGAGTGTTTCCAGATACATACAATGGCTACATACCAATGCCGGGTTACCTCAAATACTTTGAAATGTGCTCCAAGATCAATGAATGGAATGATTTAGAGAAGTCAGAAACTCTGCGTTAACCTCCGGGGATCAGCACAACACAATTTAGGCATCTTATCGTCATTGGAGCTTCAAACATTTCAGAGCATACTGTAAGCTCTGAACAGAATGTTGTATCCTCAGAAACGAATAGAACTTTACCGAGCACAACTGAAAGCGAGAAAGCAGGACGCCAGTTCGGCAGGAAAACGATTACGTGTGGCAAATGAGGGGTCGCCTAAAGACAAAGCTAACATGGGTAAAATTGATCAATAAGACGATGGATGCTTCATACGAAGCATTGTTCATGTTCACTGGAACTATTATCTCTATTTTCTCGTCAAAAGGTTTCGAACGCATTCGTCAAAAAGGAACCTAAGCCAGTACCCTGGAAAGCCAAAGGAGTCACTGGACATCAGCTGAAAAAGTAGGTGTCTTATTCTTTGAGATTATGATGGATGGAATATTATTCCATTACGAAAGCCTGTAAGCCGATATCAATTATGACGGAATTCTAGGATTCGATTTCCTTAAATCCTATCAGTACTGCACAGATGTTCATTCTTCAATGCTTCAGGTGCCGCCCGAATCCGACAGATTAGCTAGTAATGAAACACTTGATCTACCTGAGACAAGGACACATATAGAAGTAAGGAATGTGAAGATGAAGGAACCATAAGATGTCGTGATTCAGCCTGGATATAAAATGATTGGACTCGCCTTTCCCTGACTTGTCTTTCGCTGAAGGTTTGCAAGGTAGTCATAGACAGTTATTCGGAATTGCGGCAAATGCAGAGCCGTTTGTGAATATCAGGAATGTCAAAGGATTTAACTAAATATCTATATAATCTGTTGACCAATATAGGTATCAGCTTAAGCAACCCTGTCCTCGTGATAACCAGGACTATCTTTTACAGAATTGCGAGTCCAGAGTTTCACAAGAGCAATTGATGTCGGTACGCTTCCTATTGAATGAGAATTCGGATATCTTCTTGAAGTCAAATAACGATACAAGAAAGACTGGCATTGATTGACACGAGGGACACGAGACCAATCAAACAGCCAGTAAGAGACACTCCATTACATCTGGAGTACGAGGCCGACAAACAAAAAGAGTCTATGCTGAAAACAAAATCATCAAGCTATCAGATAGTCGCTGGGCTTTACCAATCGTATTCGTAAAGAAGAAAGATGGGAACATAAGATTGTGTGTGGATAACCGGAAGTTAAACAGTGCGATCACAAAAGACGAATATCTCTTCCTGGAATAGACCAAACTCTTGACAGGTTATCGGGTTCGAAATGGTTATCGAGCGGCTATTGGCAAGTCGAGATGGACAAGGCAGATGAAAAACAAAACAGCGTCTGTAACAAGAAAAGGACTCTTTTTCCATTTCAAAGCATTGCCCTTCGGATTGTGCAACGCTCAGAGTACATGCGAAAGGCTGGTCACAAAAAGTTCTTGCAGGGTTACAAAGGGTAATATGCTTCGTCTATCTCGACGACATTATCATTTTTGGGAAGACGTTTGAAGACCACATGGACAAACAGCGCCAAGTCTTCGATAGAATTCGCAGTGCAAACCTAAAACTGAAGCCCGAAAAATGCGAGCTCTTTTGAAATCCTGTGACATTTTTAGGTATGTGTACACCTGCGGCACGATTGGCCATGTCCACGGTCCGGACAACTTGGCCATGAAGAGGGTGAAGGTAAAGACTCAGGTGATTAACTTTAGACTAATATACTAAACCGGTAACGGTGTTTTCATACATTTGGTAATATTTGTATATCTAAAATAACTTAATTGCATTGTTAACAGATTTCGTGTATTATTTTACATATCTTTATTATTGTCAACATTCTATTTACAGATATTGACCCTGGCCATGGTCAAAGTACACACGTCGGCAGCATCAATTATGGAGGACGTTCTGCAGGAACACATTGATGTAAGGGACTTCAGCCTGCCGAACTCTTCGTATCTTATCCGTGCCGCCAACCGGGTACCGTGCCCGACAGATGATCCGGCCACGGGAGCCGACTGACCTTGACTTTGTCGTAAGTATTACTATCTATTCAGAGCCTGATGCTACAAGGTATAAAGAACATTTTTCAGGTTCCAAATAGAACACCATAACGATAATTGATAATTATATAATCTATGCAAACAACATAATAAAATGAGTTTAAGTTATATTTCAGGTTGACCAGATTTACCTACAATGTCCGGAGTTCGTCATCGGTGACGTGAGGGAGGATGGCAAGCGACATCTGATGATGATCGCCACCCAGACGCAGTTGACCCTACTCAGACAGGCTCGCCGATGATAGGTTACAGAGCAAAGCAGGATAACTTTGTGTCCAAAAAAATACATAGTATACAAACCTGACAAATTTATTTAAAGATGTTTAAATATCTTTAATTAGTGGTAGTTGGTTTTTACTTTTGATATCGTTTATTTGTTGTTTATAATCATTTAACTTAAATATTTGTTTTTCATAGTTAAATGAATGGGACTTTTAAGATTCGGAAGGAGCCATTCACGCAGCTGTGGAGTGTCCATGCGTTTCTCCAGAAGGACGGGTGTATGAAGCAGGTGCCGGTCCTGTTCATTTTGATGTCTCGACAGCGAGCACAGGACAACATTGCTTAAAGTTATAGGGATTGAACGGGTTTTTTTTTTTAATTTTCATACCGGTATGAACGCAAATCGGTAACAGCCATATTAACAGGCTTCATGCAATATGGCTGCAACCGATTTGCGTTCATACCGGCATGAAAATAAAAAAACGCCGTTCAATCCATATATTTACATTTTTACTAAAGAACAAATGTTTGAGTTTAGTTTGATGTTCTTAGATAAGTTGATTATTTATTGCTTTTGTTTATGCGACGATCTTTAACCGACATTGGCGGAACAACCCTATTTTAATCAAATTGGCGCCAATTATTAACCGCAGTCATTTGAGTGTTTGACGTAGTGGCATTCTCCATGTTAACCGAAACAAAGCTACAAGACTCTCATTGAACAAGGTTCATCCATGACGTCATAAGTAAACCACGTGATACGTCACGAGAGTTTATGCTTTCATTTAGGCATTGCACTGCTTTGAAAGCGGTTCAATACTTATATTTACCATTTTTGAATATGTTACTTTCATAAAAAATTCAATAGCCTAACATTTATTATTATTTAGCATTTAGTCCAAATATTGTATGTATTGTGTATGCTTGTTCAATGAACAGAACAGCCATCGCCCAGGGACGGTCAGTGGTATCCAACGTAACAATTATGACGTCATACTAATGATGACGTCAACAATCGGTCCATGGCATTCATAGGCTTTATGAATGACAATTGAATTTAGTAGGGTTATAAAGTGGCAATGCCATACGATGGTTAATATCCTCAAATGTAATGCATTTCTGCTGGTAATGTTCATATAGTGGGTTGCAGCGCAAATGTAAAAAAAAATGTAATTTGCAAAACTAATAAAAAAAATTACCCAGAGATACTTTGATTTTATTTCTTAATAAGTTATAGCGGGCAACGCCGACTCCTGGAGGTTCTCGGGGATCCGGCATTGGAGGGGGCAGAGATTGACTTTGAGATAGATAAGTTTGATGAAAAGCAGGTAAAAAATTGCAGCACTAACAGTTACACATCAGTGAATCTTGCATTGAAATGGTTATTTGATTATGATTAAATTCAACGTCATTAATAAGTTGTCAAAACTGATTGTGACATAACTCATAAAAGTTCTATCTTGTATATCTCTCTTTTCATTACGGCCTGTTGGAATGCAGTCAGAAGACAGAACTGTCCTTCAAACGGTGGATCTTCGGGGGTATTGTTGCACCAGTTTTAAAAAGTACTTGTGCGTAGTGGCCGGCCACTGCGCACTAACAACGATGTCGAATGTATACTATTAATAATCACAAGTACTTTTTAAAACTGGTGCAATAATTTTGGTAACCTAACGGTTAACCAAACAGATTTTTGACGTGTGGGACCGCCTAGACTCTCGGGATTATCTAAGTCCGTACGTGGTGAGACATATTAAAAATGTGTTGAAAGAAAAAAAACTGTATGCATATGATCCATCGGCTAACTTCCTCATTAATTATATAAAACACAATCATTCGAATAATTCAATCTAATTAAATAAAGTCAGTGTTTCAGATTAAACTTTAACAACAGATTACATTAGTACAGGTTACCTCCCCTTGTGGAACTCGTGACTTGAGACAAGGAAATGCAGAAAGGAATTTATTGATTTAAATAATACGTCATAGGTTAATACATGAATGAAATCCAAATAAATGGGTTATTATAACATTCATCTATATTTCACACATGCATAGGGCCGATTTAACCATAAATCTCCCGTTTTGGGTACAGTGACGTTACGTTTAGTAGTTGGAAAATTCCAAGAGGAAGTAACTTGTTTCAGTAATATTGTATACTTATTATTTTTACAGTATAGCGTTATGGTTAGTGTTATGATTGAAATTTCTTGTGCTTATGCGAGATTTTGGTTTAATATCGACCGTGTAATGGCTATGAATAACCTAATGATAATGTAATGTACTTTCGTTTTTAGTATAAGTAGACTAACACTAAAAACGAAAGTACTACTGTAAGAATATTGCATGTATTTATTATACAGTAACATGTCATTTTATTTTTGGTCTCTCTTTCAGATTTCCAGAACTGTAAAGCAATTTCCGTAAGATTACATGACGCCAGAGACGTATAATACATTATACGTCTCTGATGAAGCATATCAGTGACCACATCGTAAACTGTATGAAAACACCATACACTGGAAGAGATCATGGATTTGAAATTAGAACAATTCTAGATATGCTAAGTAATAGAATCAGAGACACTTGATGTGTTTGTTGAAAGATGGCTAAGAGAAAATGATGGAAACCTCAGACAACTTTGGGCAACAACTTGCTGTTGCATTGAGAAATGGAGATGTGGAAAAGGCAAAAATGTGCGTTCAGAATTTGTCACAAGCAAATGTGAAATGTACAATAGGTTTGGATACAAAAAATGTGAATGAAACTGGGAAAGAACAGGAAATAAGGTAATATTTGTACTGTAGCCTAATTCTGTCCGATTAACATAATTTATAATTCTTTAAGTCAAAGACTTGAGAAAAAAGTTGTATCTTTATTTTTCATATTTTGTGTTTGTAAGTTATTGTTTGACAGATACATTTTGCACTAATATGAATTTCGATGTTCTGGATCAAACAAAACAATACGTATATATGAGTCATAGATATTTGAGTACATGTCTTGAATTCAATTCTGTTGAGAAGGGTATATCTGTGTATTCTCTGTAGAAACATAAATCTGAAAAGAAAGATTATCTTTTTTTATCTCATGTTATTCCATTACTTCTTTTGTAAAATTGTTTCATTATGAAAATTAATACATATATATTAAATGTGTTAACATTTCTATTATGTTAAAAATAAAGATAATAATATATATATGTATAACATGTTAATAATTGGAACAATAATCTTTATAAACCTGTTCAATGGCAGGTGTAAATACACTATATAGATATTTCAATAAATATGATTACGTTTTTCAGTATTAAAGTTCACATAGAGGATCGTAACAGATCTGGGGACTTTGTTTTGTCCCTGAAAGTGAAGCTCAGTGACTCTGTTCAACTTCTGAAAGGAAAAGTAAGAAAATTAAAGTTCATTAATAAATACATGTACAATATATCACTGGCACTATAACACCTCAGTATTGTCACTCTATCACAGTGTTGCCGATATTCTATCATTAAAAACAGTTATTTATTTTGGGTTTAGTTTGATAAACTGTGAACTTTGATTTGTAAAAGAACACTATTCTGTTGAATAAATTAAAAAAAGAAATGGACAACGCAATACAGGAGTCATTTTTATATTATGATATTCTGGTTAGTTCCGACATTAAATTCGTTTTGTGTAAATAGATATGCTTAAAATTTGACATCTATTTGTTACAAAAGTTAATTTACAGAAGTGCGCTTCTCTACCACAATATACAATGGGCCATACAACATATTCATACCAAACTGGAAGCAAAATGTTTTCCAATGAGAGTTATTGCCCTTCCGACAATATAAGCATAGATGAGTAGTTTCCTATAAGTTATAGATAGACTTGATAAAGGCTGTCTGAGATTTCCCCCTGCTAATACTGGTCTGAGAGATGACTTAGTTACCTGATACAATCCCAAACAACTAGGGAAAATCCATTTCACAATGACAGATCCAGGTCTTGAAAAAGTCCTCATGTGAAATTGTACAATTAAATGTTGTGTTATAACTAATTAATCAGACTTTACATACTGAATGTGCTTCTGAATGTGTGAGTATTTTACAATCTTGTAATATTTACATTATCTAAGATTTTGTTTTGAGATTTTAATTCCTTGAATGTGTTCATAAACTTCAGCAGTTATGTTTCTACTCTGATAAAGAAGGATAAATCCTTCTATCTTAAAAATACAGATGCCAAATGATTGCATGAAGTTGAACTCAATTTTGTTTTAAAATGGCATCAATAGGAATCTGATTTTAAAATTTGACCCCCATGAACTCTTGCTCAGATGTTGCTGAAGTACAGATTTCCTAAGGAGGTGCAGAGGTGGGTGATAAATAAACGAGTCGGCTCAGACCACGACACGCTGAAGAGACTGGGCATCCGTGATGGTGACACTGTGTACTTGTACCTCATGTCAGCCAAATCAGTTGGGCTCAGTAAGGAGGAGTTTGACAGGAAATTGGAACGACTCCTCATGAATCCAGGTAAAAGGAGTTTAGGGCTCATTATGAATCCAGGTAATCAGGGCTCATTATGAATCCAGGTAATAAGGGCTCATTATGAATCTAGGTTATCAGAGCTCATCATGAATCTAGGTAATCAGAGCTCATCATGAATCTAGGTAATAAGGGTTCATCATGAATCCAGGTAATCAGAGCTCATCATGAATCTAGGTATTAAGGGCTCATTATGAATCCAGGTAATCAGGGCTCATCATGAATCTAGGTAATAAGGGCTCATTATGAATCCAGGTTATCAGGGCTCATCATGAATCCAGGTAATCAGGGCTTATCATGAATCCAGGTAATCAGAGCTCATAATGAATCTAGGTAATCATGAATCGAGGTAATCAGGGCTCATTATGAATCAAGGTAATCAGGGCTCATGATTAATCCAGGTAATCAGGGCTTATCATGAATCCAGGTAATCAGGGCTTATCATGAATCCAGGTAATCAGGGCTCCTCATGAATCTAGGTAATCGTGAATCTAGGTAATCAGGGCTCATTATAAATCCAGGTAATCAGGGCTCATGATTAATCCAGGTAATCAGAGCTCTTCATGAATCTAGGTAATCCGAGCTCATCATGAATCTGGGTAATAGGGCTCATTATGAATCAAGGTAATCAGGGCTCATTATCAATCCAGGTCATCAGGGCTCATCATGAATCTAGGCAATAAGGGTCCATCATGAATCCAGGTAATAAGGGCTCATCATGAATCCATGTAATCAGAGCTCTTCATGAATCTAGGTAATAAGGGCTCATTATGAATCAAGGTAATCAGGGCTCATTATGAATCAAGGTAATCAGGGCTCATTATGAATCAAGGTAATCAGGGCTCATTAATAATCCAGGTAATCAGGGCTCATTATAAATCCAGGTAATCAGGGCTCATCATGAATCCATGTAATCAGAGCTCTTCATGAATCTAGGTAACCAAGGCCAATCATGAATCTAGGTATTAAGGGTTCATCATGAATCAAGGTAATCCGAGCTCATCATGAATCTGGGTAATAGGGCTCATTATGAATCTAGGTAATCATGAATCGAGGTAATCAGGGCTCATTATGAATCAAGGTAATCAGGGCTCATTATTAATCCAGGTAATCAGGGCTCATCATGAATCCAGGTAATCGGAGCTCATCATGAATCTAGGTAATAAGGGCTCATTATGAATCCAGGTAATCAGGGCTCATTATTAATCCAGGTAATCTGGGTTCATCATGAATCCAGGTAATCAGGGTTCATCATGAATCCAGGTAATCAGGGTTCATTATTAATCCAGGTAATCAGGGTTCATCATGAATCTAGGGAATAAGTATAGGGTCACCATGAATCCATTTCATCAGGGCTGATCAAGAATTCTGGTAATAAGGGGCTCATCATGAATTTATGTAATAAAGCTCATTTTTAATCTAGGTAATCAGCCAGGCCTCTCTTTGAATCAAGGCAATCGTTTTCAACCTGCAAATTTTCTTGAAACTTGAAGAGTTATCAACATTCATGTCAACTGTAGTTTTGCTTGTGTGTCAGGATACAGAGGCTCTTATTTTACCAATTATAGACCTTTATATGTACTTGGAACTAATATATTTTGTTCATACAACATTGTCTCTCAGTCCCTATGCGTAGAAAATGATGAGTCCACATTTGAAAAACCTACACAAAAACTTACCTGTGCTGTGATGTATATTGTCAACATGTTTGTAAACAACCATACCTTGTAATTAATAAATATGGCAGGTGGAAGTTGTTAGACTGATGTTAACCTTATGACAGCTACCATAGGTCAGCCCATGCAAAATGCAAACTGTTTTTTTTTATTATTTTGACAGTTATCTTTGGAATTTTATTTCACTAATGGTATTCAGCGTAAATTCATATTGATCCCATCATTTTATAAACTCTTTAAGATCGTTTTTTCAGTTTCACTTTCTGTATATATGAATGTTTTGTGACACAGATGGGGCTCCACCGACCCCGGACACACCCATGTCTAATGTCTCAATGCGTGGCTTACCTCCAAGTCGACAAAGGTCCAATCTGAGCCTGGGAAGTGATAGGTCCTCCCTTAGCCAATCACAATTAAACCTGAGCGAGGAGCTATCTGCACTACTGAGGTCACAGGAAGCTCAAGGGTCACCGTCGATGTCAGGTCAGGGGTCACCATCAATGCCAGGTCAGATGTCAAGGTCAGGCCAACCACCCCCTGATGTTTATGAACCAGTCGAGGATCAAACTGCTGCCCCAGGCCGAGGATTAGAGGTACATGCACTGCTCTGCTCATTTGTTATTTAATCAGAGCAGAACAATGGCAGCAGTCTGGAGGCATCTCACAAACTAGATTTAAATTAATTTGTATTTCAAATGGAGAATAACATCAGATATTAAATGTGTTTTGGAGAGTAGTAGGTATTTACCTAAAAAGGGAAAGAAATGGTATGTGCTTTGTAAACTTGTGATTAAAATCTGTATTAGTGTAATTCAGTGTAGTTCAGAGCTTATGTTTGACCCATAGTATATTACCGTGTTATATTGACAAGCTGATGATTAAACTACTCTCTTGGAAATTTAATGGTGTAATCAAATGGAGCTTTTCATTTGGAAAAAGACAAGTGTACAGTAGACAGGGAAATGTGTGGTGACAGACATAGCGAAATGATAAGGTTATACTGTTTAAATCTAATTGATGTGTCTGATTAAAATGTTTCAGGAAGGCGAATGGAGTTGTCCAATATGTACATTTCATAATAAGTATCAAAAAAAGAAATGCAGGATGTGTGACGCTGACCGCCCAGACTCATACCAGATCCCCACCGTAGGGAGACCAGAGGTCAACCGAACCCTATCAGGGGCAGGCCATGAGGTAAGCTGTGTGTTACCAGTCATAGAAGAGTAAGCACAGTGAGGTAGCTAGCACATTTTAATGATGATAAGCCCAGAGGGTCTATGCGAAAATAAAAAGGTCAAAAAGTGGTTTATTCTTGGATTTGAGCCTGTGTTCTTCTGATGATATTTTCCCTGTGTTAAATCAATTCTAAATGGTGATGGCAAGTCTGGAAGTGTATATGATGTAAAAACATACTTGGGTCAGAGGTCAGATGTTGCCAGTCACCTTGCTTTTGATATTGTGGACTTTGATCATTTTTAGCTCACCTGCCCAAAGAGTTATATTAAAAAAAAACTTATTTTACTAATGCATGTTGATTGTCAGATTGATTATGCTAAAGTGCTTACATTTTCAGATTTATTGAAAATATATTCTTTTATCAGTAATTTTTGACTTTTTTTTTATTGGGAATTTTACGACATGTTAGGGATGCATGATATAAGGGAAATTCTGTTTGATCGCACTCAAACAATATCATGTGTAAACAAAACTTGCTGCTTGAATTCAATGCCCCAAGATAAACTTCTATTTGTCAAAAACTTAAACAGCGTTGTACAACAGTTTATAAGAAGGCATACTTTAATTATTTTACACGTGATTGGGAAAATATTGGGTCAGAATTGGGAAATCTTTACTTGGGGAAAGTACCTAAAGTCGGCACTAAAAATGGGGTAAAAAAGTCAATGGTACCAAATCTAATTTATGCCATCATTTTACAGTATTCAACTGGTACACTGTTCTTATAATGTTAGTGGATATCCATAAGTTTGGTCATGTACATAAAAACGACCTGAATGAAATTAAAGTCTATAGATCAATACATAACATTACACTTAGAATATGTACCCACCTTCAAACTGCAGTGGGGTATCATTCCCCAGCCTTATGATACAGGAGCTAGGCTGATCAAAGCGAACAATGAAACATAAACAACAAGTCTGCTGACGGCCTTATTTAACTACTGTTTCCCATTGTAACAGACATCAGATGGTGGAACAGGACTCCTAACTTTGCCAATGACTGGAGTACACAACAATCTACAAATTTTACTGAAAAGGAAAACTCCAAATCAAGATTTGATCAGCTGGATGAAGGTTTGTTGTAAAAATGGAACAAATGACATTTTAAAGTAAATAAATTCAGTCGTCGTTGAACAAATTTCTCAAAGAAATAGTTTTTCTACCAATAGCGCTATAAAATCTTGTCATACAACCACCATTTACTCAACAGAATTTTGGCAATGTGAAGGGTTTCAGCAATACCGGTATATTTAACGAAGATACTGTATACAATGTACCAGGATGTTTTTGCCCAATCATATTTTCACCCTTTGATGCCCAATATTAAACTCGCCCTTCACATTGAATTGCTTTGAATATTTTGTTGAGAACAAATGGTTGCTGTAATGACCTGGCCTTGACATCTGACCTGACATTGATGGTGACCCCTGACCTGACATCGACGGTGACCCTTGAGTTTCAAGTGACCTCAATGAATGAATTCACTCTCATTACGGAGGCCAAAAAGCGCCAAAAATCACCTGCAACGAAAAATTCCTGGTATACAGTATATAAAGCAATGGTTAAAAAAAACCTGAAAGGTGATGACAAGTTAGATAATATATACGAGTGACATGACATCAAGGTCCTACTGAAGTTATAACAGAAAAAACTGATCATACTTGGAGAATTTAGATCATCACTCTGATATAAGAACTTGGACCATGATTCAGCACTAAGAACCATTCAGATCATGTAGCTTAGAGAATATAGATAATAACTCTGGGAATTGACTTCAACTCTTAGAATTTAGATCATTACCTGAAGATCGTTAATCATGACTCGGAGAAGTTAGAGGATAACTGTCTAAAAATTACTTACCCGAAAAATTTACAATGCAATAAAATCCTCACTCGGAGAATTTGCTGAGACCAGAGAGGTGTAAGGGTGGGGTTTGAATTCAAAAGAGAGTGAACAAATTTAGACTGTGATCAGTGATTGTGTGTACTTGATTTGTCCACAGGAGGGGTTTATATTTACTGAAGTGAAATACAAGTTAAACTGAGGTAATCTGTGGTGTTTTAATGATCTTACCTGTTTGTTATAGATGGCGTACACCCCCGTAGTGATGAGAACCAAGGACTTTATAAAGACAGTGGTGACGTGTGTTTGTGAAGATGCTATTAGAAGTAAGTCTTCAGCAAGATGTCTTCTTATTGCTTGCTTCACTGAGATATCATATTTTTAAAAGATAAACATTTAAAAGTGTACATTATTTAAGATAGCTGTTGCATAAGAGCTATTTATATAGACAGGTATTGTGTGATGTATTTTCTAGAACAGTCAGTGTTAACATAAAGAGATAGATGTATATGATGTATTTACAGGGACAGTTAGTGTTAACATAAAGAGATAGACTTATATGATGTATTTACAGGGACAGTCAGTATTAACATAAAGATATACATATGTAGACGTATATGATGTATTTACAGGGACAGTTAGTGTTAACATAAAGAGATAGATGTATATGATGTATTTACAGGGACAGTGCAGTGTTAACATAGAGAGATAGACTTATATGATGTATTTACAGGGACAGTCAGTGTTAACATAAAGAGATAGATGTATATGATGTATTTACAGGGACAGTTAGTGTTAACATAAAGAGATAGACTTATATGATGTATTTACAGGGACAGTCAGTGTTAACATAAAGAGATAGACGTATATGATGTATTTACAGGGACAGTCAGTGTTAACATAAAGAGATAGACGTATATGATGTATTTACAGGGACAGTCAGTGTTAACATAAAGAGATAGACGTATATGATGTATTTACAGGGACAGTCAGTGTTAACATAAAGAGATAGACGTATATGATGTATTTACAGGGACAGTCAGTGTTAACATAAAGAGATAGACGTATATGATGTATTTACAGGGACAGTCAGTGTTAACATAAAGAGATAGACGTATATGATGTATTTACAGGGACAGTCAGTGTTAACATAAAGAGATAGACGTATATGATGTATTTACAGGGACAGTCAGTGTTAACATAAAGAGATAGACGTATATGATGTATTTACAGGGACAGTCAGTGTTAACATAAAGAGATAGACGTATATGATGTATTTACAGGGACAGTCAGTGTTAACATAAAGAGATAGACGTATATGATGTATTTACAGGGACAGTCAGTGTTAACATAAAGAGATAGACGTATATGATGTATTTACAGGGACAGTCAGTGTTAACATAAAGAGATAGACGTATATGATGTATTTACAGGGACAGTCAGTGTTAACATAAAGAGATAGACGTATATGATGTATTTACAGGGACAGTCAGTGTTAACATAAAGAGATAGACGTATATGATGTATTTACAGGGACAGTCAGTGTTAACATAAAGAGATAGACGTATATGATGTATTTACAGGGACAGTCAGTGTTAACATAAAGAGATAGACGTATATGATGTATTTACAGGGACAGTCAGTGTTAACATAAAGAGATAGACGTATATGATGTATTTACAGGGACAGTCAGTGTTAACATAAAGAGATAGACGTATATGATGTATTTACAGGGACAGTCAGTGTTAACATAAAGAGATAGACGTATATGATGTATTTACAGGGACAGTCAGTGTTAACATAAAGAGATAGACGTATATGATGTATTTACAGGGACAGTCAGTGTTAACATAAAGAGATAGACGTATATGATGTATTTACAGGGACAGTCAGTGTTAACATAAAGAGATAGACGTATATGATGTATTTACAGGGACAGTCAGTGTTAACATAAAGAGATAGACGTATATGATGTATTTACAGGGACAGTCAGTGTTAACATAAAGAGATAGACGTATATGATGTATTTACAGGGACAGTCAGTGTTAACATAAAGAGATAGACGTATATGATGTATTTACAGGGACAGTCAGTGTTAACATAAAGAGATAGACGTATATGATGTATTTACAGGGACAGTCAGTGTTAACATAAAGAGATAGACGTATATGATGTATTTACAGGGACAGTCAGTGTTAACATAAAGAGATAGACGTATATGATGTATTTACAGGGACAGTCAGTGTTAACATAAAGAGATAGACGTATATGATGTATTTACAGGGACAGTCAGTGTTAACATAAAGAGATAGACGTATATGATGTATTTACAGGGACAGTCAGTGTTAACATAAAGAGATAGACGTATATGATGTATTTACAGGGACAGTCAGTGTTAACATAAAGAGATAGACGTATATGATGTATTTACAGGGACAGTCAGTGTTAACATAAAGAGATAGACGTATATGATGTATTTACAGGGACAGTCAGTGTTAACATAAAGAGATAGACGTATATGATGTATTTACAGGGACAGTCAGTGTTAACATAAAGAGATAGACGTATATGATGTATTTACAGGGACAGTCAGTGTTAACATAAAGAGATAGACGTATATGATGTATTTACAGGGACAGTCAGTGTTAACATAAAGAGATAGACGTATATGATGTATTTACAGGGACAGTCAGTGTTAACATAAAGAGATAGACGTATATGATGTATTTACAGGGACAGTCAGTGTTAACATAAAGAGATAGACGTATATGATGTATTTACAGGGACAGTCAGTGTTAACATAAAGAGATAGACGTATATGATGTATTTACAGGGACAGTCAGTGTTAACATAAAGAGATAGACGTATATGATGTATTTACAGGGACAGTCAGTGTTAACATAAAGAGATAGACGTATATGATGTATTTACAGGGACAGTCAGTGTTAACATAAAGAGATAGACGTATATGATGTATTTACAGGGACAGTCAGTGTTAACATAAAGAGATAGACGTATATGATGTATTTACAGGGACAGTCAGTGTTAACATAAAGAGATAGACGTATATGATGTATTTACAGGGACAGTCAGTGTTAACATAAAGAGATAGACGTATATGATGTATTTACAGGGACAGTCAGTGTTAACATAAAGAGATAGACGTATATGATGTATTTACAGGGACAGTCAGTGTTAACATAAAGAGATAGACGTATATGATGTATTTACAGGGACAGTCAGTGTTAACATAAAGAGATAGACGTATATGATGTATTTACAGGGACAGTCAGTGTTAACATAAAGAGATAGACGTATATGATGTATTTACAGGGACAGTCAGTGTTAACATAAAGAGATAGACGTATATGATGTATTTACAGGGACAGTCAGTGTTAACATAAAGAGATAGACGTATATGATGTATTTACAGGGACAGTCAGTGTTAACATAAAGAGATAGACGTATATGATGTATTTACAGGGACAGTCAGTGTTAACATAAAGAGATAGACGTATATGATGTATTTACAGGGACAGTCAGTGTTAACATAAAGAGATAGACGTATATGATGTATTTACAGGGACAGTCAGTGTTAACATAAAGAGATAGACGTATATGATGTATTTACAGGGACAGTCAGTGTTAACATAAAGAGATAGACGTATATGATGTATTTACAGGGACAGTCAGTGTTAACATAAAGAGATAGACGTATATGATGTATTTACAGGGACAGTCAGTGTTAACATAAAGAGATAGACGTATATGATGTATTTACAGGGACAGTCAGTGTTAACATAAAGAGATAGACGTATATGATGTATTTACAGGGACAGTCAGTGTTAACATAAAGAGATAGACGTATATGATGTATTTACAGGGACAGTCAGTGTTAACATAAAGAGATAGACGTATATGATGTATTTACAGGGACAGTCAGTGTTAACATAAAGAGATAGACGTATATGATGTATTTACAGGGACAGTCAGTGTTAACATAAAGAGATAGACGTATATGATGTATTTACAGGGACAGTCAGTGTTAACATAAAGAGATAGACGTATATGATGTATTTACAGGGACAGTCAGTGTTAACATAAAGAGATAGACGTATATGATGTATTTACAGGGACAGTCAGTGTTAACATAAAGAGATAGACGTATATGATGTATTTACAGGGACAGTCAGTGTTAACATAAAGAGATAGACGTATATGATGTATTTACAGGGACAGTCAGTGTTAACATAAAGAGATAGACGTATATGATGTATTTACAGGGACAGTCAGTGTTAACATAAAGAGATAGACGTATATGATGTATTTACAGGGACAGTCAGTGTTAACATAAAGAGATAGACGTATATGATGTATTTACAGGGACAGTCAGTGTTAACATAAAGAGATAGACGTATATGATGTATTTACAGGGACAGTCAGTGTTAACATAAAGAGATACATGTATATGATGTATTTATTTACAGGGACAGTCAGTATTAACATAAAGATATACATATGTAGACGTATATGATGTATATACAGGGACAGTTAGTGTTAACATAAAGAGATAGACGTTTATGATGTATTTACAGGGACAGTCAGTGTTAACATAAAGAGATAGATGTATATGATGTATTTACAGGGACATTCAGTGTTATTGTTAACATAAAGAGATAGACTTATATGATGTATTTACAGGGACAGTCAGTGTTATTGTTAACATAAAGAGATAGACGTATATGATGTATTTACAGGGACTGTCAGTGTTAACATAAACAGATAGACTTATATGATGTATTTACAGGGACAGCCAGTGTTAACATAAAGAGATAGATGTATATGATGTATATACAGGGACAGTCAGTGTTAACATAAAGAGATAGATGTATATGATGTGTTTACAGGGAAAGTCACTGTTAACATAAGGAGATAGACGTTTATGTTACAGGGACTGTCAGTGTATGTGTTGTTCTTTCAGAGACAGACACTGTATACTTTGTGGAACAGCACAAGATATCAGAACGCGTACCATTATTAATGGAGATATTGGACAACCAGGTATCCAGAATGGTGGAAGCTCTATACGCGCTGCAGACCCTGTACCACAAACTCCAGTATCCTGAAGGTCTCGTTGATTCCTTTTTGTACCATTGTTCAATATGCATAGGACTGTTGCCGTTATGGTAGTTGATAGACAAGTATGTCATGTAAAAAAATAATGGACTCCAATACATAATGCTGTATTCTTGCAGAAACCTTAGAGGGAACATTAGAAACTCATGGAGGTCAAATATCCGTTATTTATTGTGAGGTTCAAGAGGATATACATCCATCAATTAATGTGAGGTTCTAGACGATACATATCCATCAATTGTGGTGAGGTTCTAGAGGATATATATCCAACAATGGTTGTGAGGTTCTAAAAAAAACATCCATCAATTGTGGTGAGGTTCTAGATAATACATATCCGCCAATTGTTCTGAGGTTGCAGGCGATACATATCCATCAATTGTGGTGATTTTCTAGAGGATATTTATCCATCAACTATTGTGAGGTTCTAGAGGGTACATATCCATCGATTGTTGTGAGGTTTTAAAGGTTCTAGAGGGCGTATATATCCATTGATTGTTGAGGTTCTAGAGGGCATACTGTTAAGGTTGTAGAGGTTCTAGAGGGTACATATCCATCGATTGTTGTGAGGTTCTAGAGGGTACATATCCATTGATTGTTGAGGTTTTAGAGGGTACATATCCATTGATTGTTGTGAGGTTTTAGAGGTTCTAGAGGGTACATATCCATTGATTGTTGTGAGGTTTTAGAGCTTCTAGAGGGTACATATCTGTCATTTGTTGTGAGGTTCTAGAGGGTACATATCCATCGATTGTTGTGAGGTTTTAGAGGGTACATATCCATTGATTGTTGAGGTTTTAGAGGTTCTAGAGGGTACATATCCATCGATTGTTGTGAGGTCCTAAAGGGTACATATCCGTCGATTGTTGTGAGGTTCTAGACGGTACATGTCTGTCATTTGTTGAGGTTTTAGAGGGTACATATCCGTCGATTGTTGTGAGGTTCTAGAGGGTACATATCCGTCGATTGTTTTGAGGTTCTAGAGGGTACATATCCGTCGATTGTTGTGAGGTTCTTGAGGGAACATATCCATTAATTGTGGTGAGGTTCTAGACGGTACATATTTGTCATTTGTTGAGGTTTTAGAGGTTAAAGAGGATACATACCCATCTATTGTTGTGAGGTTCTAGAGGGTACATATCTGTCGATTGTTGTGAGGTTTTAGAAGTTCTAGAGGGTACATATCCGTCATTTGTTGTGAGGTTCTAGAGGGTACATAGCCATCGATTGTTGTGAGGTTCTAGAGGGTACATATCCATTGATTGTTGAGGTTTTAGAGGTTCTAGAGGGTACATATCCATCGATTGTTGTGAGGTTCTAAAGGGTACATATCCGTTGATTGTTGTGAGGTTCTAGACGGTACATATCCGTCATTTGTTGAGGTTTTAGAGGGTACATATCCGTCGATTGTTGTGAGGTTCTAGAGGGTTCATATCCGTCGATTGTTTTGAGGTTTTAGAGGTTATAGAGGGTACATATCCTTCGATTGTTGTGAGGTTCTAGAGGGTACATATCCATTAATTGTGTTGAAGTTTTAGAGGTTATAGAGGATACATACCCATCTATTGTTGTAAGGTTCTAGAGGGTACATATCCGTCGATTGTTGTAAGGTATTAGAGGTTCTAGAGGGTACATATCTGTCATTTGTTGTGAGGTTTTAGAGGTTCTAGAGGGTACATATCCGTCGATTGTTGTGAGGTTCTAGAGGGTACATATCCATTAATTGTTGTGAGGTTCTAAAGGGTACATATCCGTCGATTATTGTGAGGTTCTAGATGGTACATATCCGTCATTTGTTGAGGTTTTAGAGGGTACATATCCGTCGCTTGTTGTGAGGTTCTAGAGGGTTCATATCCGTCGATTGTTTTGAGGTTCTAGAGGGTACATATCCGTCGATTGTTTTGAGGTTCTAGACGGTACATATCCATTAATTGTGGTGAGGTTCTAGAGGGTACATATCCATTAATTGTTGTGAGGTTCTAGAGGGTACATATCCGTCGATTGTTTTGAGGTTCTAGAGGGTGCATATCAGTCGATTGTTGTGAGGTTCTAGAGGGTACATATCCATTAATTGTGGTGAGGTTCTAGACGGTAATTATCCGTCATTTGTTGAGGTTTTAGAGGTTATAGAGGATACATACCCATCTATTGTTGTGAGGTTCTAGAGGGTTCATATCCGTCGATTGTTGTGAGGTATTAGAGGTTCTAGAGGGTACATATCCGTCATTTGTTGTGAGGTTTTAGAGGTTTTAGAGGTTATAGAGGGTACATATCCTGTGAGGTTCTAGAGGGTTCATATCCGTCGATTGCTGTGAGGTATTAGAGGTTCTAGAGGGTGCATATCCATTAATTGTGGTGAGGTTCTAGAAGGTAATTATCCGTCATTTGTTGAGGTTTAAGAGGGTATAGAGGATACATACCCATCTATTGTTGTGAGGTTCTAGAGGGTACATATCCGTCGATTGTTGTGAGGTATTAGAGGTTCTAGAGGGTACATATCTGTCATTTATTGTGAGGTTTTAGAGGTTCTAGAGGGTACATATCCGTCGATTGTTGTGAGGTTCTAGAGGGTACATATCCATTAATTGTGGTGAGGTTCTAGACGGTACATATCCGTCATTTGTTGTGAGGTTTTAGAGGGTACATATCCTTTTATTGTTGTGAGGTTCTAGAGGATATATATCCAACAATGGTTATGAGGTACTAGAGGGTACATATCCGTCGATTGTTGTGAGGTTTTAGAGAATATCTATCTATACATCAATTGTAATGAGGTTCTAGAGGATACATATCCATAACTTGTTTTGGGGTTCTAGAGGGAACATATACATGATTTATATATATTTTTACGATATAATTACATTGTCCAGAGACTAATTTTTGTGTTTTTGTCCTTACAGGTATTCTACCACGACTGTTTGAGGTGATGTTTAATGAAGGAACTATTTCTCTTGATGCGTTTAGGACGTGGGAGCGGAATTATGACGACTCAGAGTCTAAAATTAAGGCTCTGTATGATACGCAATTATTTTTAAATGACTTGCATACCGACGCTGATATCGAGTTTGATTGATATATAACATGTGTGACTATTATATCATACAATAAAAACTTAACAGGGACAACTTTGTGCTACAATTGATAAAAAACAGACCTTATTTATAAGGTGGAATTGCACAGATACTGATCTTTGTCAGGGCATTTTTCACCCATTTAAACTTAAAATACAACAGCGAATAGCCCAACCCTAGTGAAAGGGTTAGGCTATTCGCTCAGTGATACCTCAAGGATTGGGGTGTACAATGATGACGAAATCATGTTGGATATTATAATGACGCCACTAGATAAAAGCATGCGAGTGATTAAGTTTCCTACGCCAAAATAACAAAGGTTTGCTTGGAAAACTTTTCCGAAACAAGGAATTTATTAGCTTCGAAATGGCGTTTAAATCGTTGGAAAGTGAAGACAGATTTGGGGAATCATACAGACGTATTGAATGCAAAAAGGATGTGAATTGTCAATATTATTCTTTCGCTAAATTATCGACTGCGGATGAGCAAGTCTATGCAAGGCGAGGACACGTGAATATGCCGGAACTTAAAATCCTAATCAGAAGATCCGTACTTTGTGGAAAACATCGCATAACTATCCTAAACACGTCGGTATATAAAATGCAGGACAACTAATTTGGAAGAAAATGCATTCAAAACTGGCCCGAGGGTCAACTCCAAGAGATCAAACCAAAAGTAAAAATCATGACGGCAGAGATGAAGGGTGAACCATAGAAAGATGTATGTAAGGGTGGTACAGTGAACAGTAAGGGAGACAAGACAACAAAAGTAGGACAAACGAAAATAAAAGCATGCATTCGGGGAACTTAGAAATATTCTATGTTTAACAGCACACTAACATTACGGATGTGCAACCCATGTGTAAAGTCGACACACCTGGACGGATGAAAGCTATAAAAATAGAATGAGACGGACAAGTTAGTCAGAATAGATGTAGTAAAAGAGTAGCCAATGTCTGGCCGGATACCATTTATAACAGATTTAATTATGAGGGATTGGACACGGATCAGTGAGCGATGAAGCATGTATGAAACAAGAGATCCCAGAGGGATCTTGGGGCCCAACATCGTACCATCTTCATTAGTTCTTTGTCAGTTCGATCTTTTCTCTTCTTTCCTCTAATCTGTTTGATCGAGTCATGTTAATAGTAAATGCACCTTGAGGTAACTTTTGATCTAAACTTAATACTGATGTGTATGAAAGCCAACCTTCAAAGTGAGTTTGTCATTTCACATATTTACTAGTACAGTACTTATGTGAAAGAAATAGAATCAATTATTGCAATATGAGAAAAATCTGTTTAGTTCTTCTTTTAGTCATTTTGTGTTTATGATCAGTCTCAAAATATAACATGCACAACGAGGGATCAAGGGAACCTACATATCAAATTTGAGAAAGATCCCTCAAGTTATTCCTGAGAAATAGTACTAACAAACCTTCAATGTCAAAAATCATAGATGGCTGTCGGTAGGCCATTTTGTTTAACTGATCAGTTTTAAAAGTAAACATGAACAATAAAGGATAGTGGGAAACCTGCATTGGCTGGCCCCAACACAAAAAAATTGGCCTAGTAAAAATTTAAAGCACTGGCCCAAATAATTTTGGGAAGAAATATTTCTACAGTATTTAACACAATGCTTCAGCACATTTAAATTACATGTAACATGACAATGTTTGTAATATGTAAAACAGAATAAAACATTATATTTTTAATTCTATCCTCTCCATTCATGTCTTCCCAAAATGAAATACACAAAACTTGCACCTCAAAGAAGACCATTCCCCTGGCAGTATTTATCTAGAAAATCTGAATTTTTCTTTGTCATACTTTTTCTAAATCACGGACAGTTCGATTCAAATCGAAGTAATGACAACTGAAAAATGTTCTGCCCCCAAGTTAATGTGGAAGGGACTATCATTTGTTTTATTCATTAATTTTTCGACAGTCGTCCAAACTATTTTTGTTGGGCCAGTGACTACCTCACTTTTGACAACTTTTGGTCGCTCGAGCAAGACTTTAACCGCAATTGGGTAGCAGGCGACCTTCCATTTTTAGGCACTGCTGCAACAACAAGGGAAACTTACATATACAATTGAGAAAGATGCCTCTGGTACTTCCCGAGAAATAGCGATAACAAACTTTCACTATCAAAATCCAATATGGCTTCCTGTTGGCCATATTGTTCATCCGATCAGTCTTAAAAGTTGCCCAGCACAGCCTGGGACCGAGGGATCCTATATATAAAATTTGAGAAAGATCCGACTAGTACTTCCCGAGAAATAGCGATAACAAACTTCCACTATCAAAATCCAAGATGGCTGCCTGTCGGCCATGTTGTTTATCCTATCAGTCTCAAAAGTAGCCCTGCACAAATAAGGACCAAATTAATGGGAACCTACATATAAAATTTGAGAAAGATGCCTCTGGTACTTCTTGAGAAATACCGATAACAAACTTTCACTATCAAAATCCAAGATGGCTGCCAGTCGGCCATGTTGTTAATCCGATCATTATCAAAAGTTGCTTTGCACAGCTCAGGACCAAGGGAAACGTACATATCAAATTTGAGAAAGATCCCTCTGGTACTTCTTGAGAAATACCGATAACAAAAATTGTTCAAGGACGGACGGCGGACCACCATCAGATGATTTGACATACTTATAGACTGGTATCATCAGGACGTGTGAAATCATTAACACTGCAACTGGAGAGAGAAAGAAAAGTTGCAGACCAAGGACATGGAGAATAACTGATGAGAAAGAAAGGAATACATGATGGAACCGCTGGAATGCTTCAAGACTGCGTAAAGTGGGGAGAAGTGCGCAAGTCTTACGTGCCACTAGGTACAAAGATGTGAGGTGAATTCCCTTTAATGTTCGGTATTATAACGTTAATAATACACTCCTTTGTCGTAACGTTGTTGTTATTTAATGCAGATTTATTGCTTACAGACCTCATGTTATGAAGTAAACTTACTGCATTTTGATATGATTCAAAATCTTCTCCCGACGGGCTGCTATTTAACCAATGGTACAGGCGGTTTCTTTGTGAGTCTACTTTTAAATCCAATGGTTTTACATTGCCTCTACATGTAAAAGCAATTGATACATCCACCATTCCTATACTTTGATTTTTATGTTAATCGAATTGGTCGGATTAATAGCATAAAAGGTGAGTTATATTGTATTCGACTATATGCAGCCACGTGTTATTGGATTAAAATCTGAAACTTGAAGTATCTTTACTTAAAAGGTTACATTAGTTTTTTGCTTCCCTAGTGTTATATAGTTCAGAACTTCTCTGATACAAAATAATTAACCATGTTTATCTTTTAGACAAAGAAACATTTTACGAATTGCAGAATGTGAAGGCCAGTAACTCCGTCGACTTCCACTTCGATAGGGGTTCCATTCTACACGTTTACGTTTCTAGATAAGTTTCCATTAAAGTTCCGCTGGAGTCCTGATCCAACCCGTCCTCATCAGGACTGTGTGAGTAGATTGTGCTTTATAAGTGCAACATACCCTGTCTCCTGCATACACACACGCAAGTACGCATACACTACACGCATGGAGACACGTCTTTAAATGACCTTAGCTATTAAACGGACGTTAAACAAAATTAAACCCAACCAAATCAAATAAGTGCAGTTAAGGTCGTCACTCACGACGACAAAAAGTATGAGATTTCACCCTCCCTGTTGTGTTTTATCTCTAATCGTATCGACATAGACAGTGAGAAAATCAATACATTGGCAGGGCATGCGCAGCACCATGAAATTGAAAAGGACAAAATGCAATTGTGCACACACCTCTTAATTTTTGTGAAATTTTGCTTTTTGATAAGCAAAGTTTGGAGAATTACCATAGCAAAGTCTGAACGGCATGCCATCGTAAGGTATCTGTATCTTAATCAATGTCCAATAATAGAAGAGAATTTTACATGCGACATTTAACAAGCAGGGACACTATTATATTAAGGAAACTCGAAAAAAAGAACTTGCATGTATTTTTAAAGCGGTGAAATATCACCCACGTTATGCTTCAGGAGCGAGTTTCTGAATCTGCTATATTTTTTGATACCACAAAAGACAAAAACCGTATCCTAAAAAATCCAGGTTATACGCTCTCTGCGTAAGTGAGCGTAACACTTGCAATAACCATAAGTGCTTTAAGGGTAGAATGTCATATTTATGTATCGTATTCTAAAACTTATAAGAGTTACACATTGTTTTTCCGAACCATCTGTATAACAAGAAATCAGAGATCCCATGGGCCTTAACGATCACCTGAGTCCTACAGTATTTTGTTGTTGTTGTTGAAATAATAATGTCAAAAGAGGATAGTACATTATTTGTCATACAAAAAAATGTAGTTCACCAGTGCGAGGTCCATCAGTCACTAATCACTACCAGGTTTGAGTAAAACTAAAGTGTGTAACATTGCAACAGAAAATGTATCTGTTTGTAAATTCTTTTATAAGTAGTAACGGTGACCTTGGCCTAGTAAATGGGTTGTTTTTTCAAAATGGCAACCGTGGCGGCAATATTGGATTACTGATCGACTCGAAAATAGCAGCACTTTATCAGGACCATGAGTTATTCATTCCTAAAAAGTTTCAGTTAGTATTATTTTTCAAAATAGCGACATTGGCGGCCATATTGGATTTCTGACCGACAAAGGTATGTCACCAATTTTGCTCCTCTGCGTTTCCCCAAGAGAAAATACATATCTACTCTGTATATACATATTTGTCAAGTAGTTCCTTATAATACATTGGGATATAGGCATACATGGATACAAGTACTTTATGTGCAAACCTTGCCTTTATGAGTAAAGACGCTACATTTCTGGAATTTTCAACGACTTTTTATAAACAACTGACGATCCACATATCTCGGGGATCTCGAGGTTGGTAGAGGCTGTCTTTCCTTACTCTGTTGCTTATTGTTAACAGGCGCGTTTTCTAGAACGTCTCAGGAGCCATTTCCCACGTCCTGATGTCTGTTTTCTCGTTTTAATCCGCAAGAAAAAAGTCCTTTTTTTGTACAATGTATATATATATATATACCTATTTACGTGGATCCAGTGTAATTCTGAAGATTAACCGTCGGTATTGCTTTGTACACCCTCCATACATACATTATCTGGTTTTAACCTAATCTTGATAAATGCATTTGATACTTCTGCATTAGTGAACATGCAATTGGGTTCGTCTTTCTCATAATCTTAAACTCACATTTAATGTATAGTTGACTGACAAGTTAACGATTTATTAATTTTGTTGCTGGATGCAGATAATTTCCTCTGTAAGATAATGTAATCTCTATCTTTATAGCGTTGTTCTGGATTATTACCGAAAAAAACATTGATTGTCTGTGTCCACTGTGCCATACTCGGAGTCGTTTGCGCCGGGCGTGAGTTTCTCAATTTACTCAATCGAGCAGTTTAGTTCCATGGTAGCTACGCGCCTGGTTAAACAATCGGTTTCTATAAGTGCCAGATCAGCGTATATACGGAAAGGTTGAATGATCTTGTTGGAACTCACGTTTCTTTCGTTTGAAGAATATCTAATCCTGTTTAGTAACATCAGAAGTGTACCATGACTTGCATGTTTTGTTAAAGTACATTTTAATTCCAAATTTATTTAAATTAAAGCTATACACTTCTATTTCTGAGGACTATCAGATACAGTTTGTACGATTTGCTTCGGTGATTTAATTTAACAGCGTTACCAATGCTTAGAGATTCTTTTATAAACTGTAACTGACAAAGTCGTCGTCTTATACAAAAGGTGGCTGCTACACAATGCTATTCACCGTATATGCATGCCTTTTTTTATTTATTGAAAAGCTTTAACTATAACTCTCATATGTTTTGTTACTGAAACTATAACAACCGAGGGTATAATACCGGCTAGCTGTAATATCACACTTCAAATACACTTTGAACACATTTTGGTAGTAACCCAAGACTTCATCCGCGTTAAACCAGATGTTATTCTACAATAAAAGTGAAACGTGCAGCACAAACTTCGGGTTCGCACTGGGAACTATCAAATGTCTTTACATTCCAGGATTTTTTTCGTCAATGAGTTGGTGCTT